ACCAGGTTGGTGACAGCGCCAGGGTGGGGGGCACAGGGGGAGGGGGGCATGGTCCTGGCACTCAGCCCTGCGCCCCCTCCCCAATTTTCCTCACAGGGGACGGTGACCGAGGACAAGAGCAACGCGTCCCACATCGTCTGCCCCGTCCCCGGCAACCTGGAGGAAGGTGGGTGCCGGGGTGGGGGGAGCCCCCATCTCTGAGCTGATGGTGAAATGCTGTGGGGGGGGTGTTTTGGGGGGCACGGGCAGTTCTCTGTGGGTGGCAGGGGGGTGACAGTGATGTCCCCACTCCGTGTCTCCTGCAGAGGAGTGGGTCCGGCCGGTCATGAAGCGCGACAAGCAGGTCCTGCTGCACTGGGGCTACTACCCTGACAGGTGAGGTGGCCCAGGGGGGGGCTGTGGGCCTGGAGCTCCTCAGCTGGAGCCTGAGGAGACCCCCCCCCACCCCGTGCCTACCCTGCTGTGGGTGCTGCTCTCACCCCATCCCCTCTGCACCCCCAGCTATGACACCTGGATCCCCGCCAGCGAGATCGAGGCCTCCGTGGAGGACGCCCCGACACCGGAGAAGCCCCGGAAGGTGACGGGGTCCCCCAGGCTGGGATGGTGGCCACAGCCCCCCCCTCCCCTGCTCGCTGGCTGATGTGTGGCCCCCCCCAACCCTTCCCCACCCGGCAGGTCCACGCCAAGTGGATCCTGGACACGGACACCTTCAACGAGTGGATGAACGAGGAGGACTACGAGGTGACGGACGAGAAGAGCCCCGTGGCCCGCAGGAAGAAGATCTCGGCCAAGACGCTGACGGATGAGGTCAGGGCAGGACAGCAAAGCCACAGGGTCCTTTTTGGGGGGGACGATGGGGGTCTCTGCTTGTCCATCCTGCTCGGTTGGACCCAGCAACCCCCCCCTCCTCCAGGTGAACAGCCCCGACTCGGACCGACGGGACAAGAAAGGGGGCAACTACAAGAAGCGAAAGCGCTCGCCCTCCCCCTCGCCCACCCCCGAGGCCAAGAAGAAGAACGCGAAGAAGGGGTGAGCCTTGGGCTGGGGGGGCACAGGGGCAGGGCCTGGGGGGGGTTCCAGCCCCAGGATGTGGAGGTGACAGGGACACGGGGGGGGTCTCTCCCTTCACAGACCCTCCACCCCCTACAACAAATCCAAGCGCGGGCACCGCGAGGAGGAGCAGGAGGACCTGACCAAGGACATGGACGAGCCCTCACCTGTCCCCAACGTGGAGGAGGTCACCCTGCCCAAGACAGGTCAGGGTAGGGGGCTGGCAGCCCCCCCGATGGGGTCCATTTCCCCCCCAAAATGAGCGTGGGCTGGGCTGGGGGCCCGTCCTCGGGGTGCTCAGCGCCGCTCCCCTCCGCTGCAGTCAACACCAAGAAGGACTCGGAGTCTGCGCCCGTCAAGGGGGGCACCATGACAGACCTGGGTGAGTCCGAGGGGCCAGGGCCCAGTGCTGGGGAGGGGGTGGGGGGTCCCTGGCACCACGGACCTGGCAGCACCCCCAAAACCACCCCCGCTCTGCTCTCTTCCAGATGAGCAGGAGGACGAGAGCATGGAGACGGCCGGCAAGGTGAGACCTGGGGCCATCACCCCCCCTTCTCCAGACCTACACTCCTCTGGGGGAGATGTTCTCACCCCACCATGGGGGTCACCATCGCTAGGGGGTCGCCCCTTATATCCCTCTTTCCTTCTTCCTCTTTTGGGTACCTTCTCCCTCTTTTTGGGCCCTTCCCCTCACCCCTGGGGCTGCAGGCAGCTTTGCTGTGGGCCCGTTGGCCTCATCCCGCTCTCGGTGAGGATGAGGAAGGGTGCCACGTGGGGGGCTGGGGACCCCCCCCCGGCTCATGTGGTGCTGGTCTCTGGCAGGACGAGGAGGAGAACGGCACCGGGAGCAAGGGGGAGCAGGCCAAGAACCCCGACCTGCACGAGGACAACGTGACGGAGCAGACCCACCACATCATCATCCCCAGCTACGCCGCCTGGTTCGACTACAACAGGTAGGGGACAGCCTGGCTCAGGGAGAGGGCCCCAGGACCACCGTCCCCAAGGGCCACCGTCCCCAAGGGCCACTGTGCCTCGGGGCCACCACGCCAGCCCTTCCCTGACCCTCTCCCCTTGCAGCGTCCACGCCATCGAGCGCCGAGCCCTGCCCGAGTTCTTCAACGGCAAGAATAAGTCCAAGACCCCCGAAATGTGAGACTGACCCCCCTGCTTCTGCCCCTTTCCCCCTCCCTCCCAGTGCCGGGGGGGGCTCGTGGCCAGTGCTGACCCCTCTCCTCTCTCCTCTCTCCTCTCTCCTCTCTCCTCTCTCCTCTCCTCTCCCTCCTCCTTTCTTTCACTTTTCCTTTCACTTTTTTCTCTCCTCCTTTCTTTCACTTTTCCTTTCACTTTTTTCTCTCCTCTCACTTTTTCCTTTCACTATTTTTGTCTCCTCTCACTTTTTCCTTTCACCTTCTTTTTTTTTTCCTTTCACTTTTCTCTCCCCTCTCCCTGTCCTCTCCTCTAATTGTTCCCTTGCTAAAAGCCAAAGACAGAATTACAAATGCTGCTTTGGCGATGTGGTTTATGGCATTCTTTGAGGGTGTTTTCTGCTGCACAGTTTGTTCTCTATCTTCTTTTTGGATCGTCATCTCTGTGAAAGACAAAATATTCCTTCTCTGTTAAAAGCAGAGAAGCATGGAAAAATTGCAAAGTGTAAGGATCTTAAAATGCTTCTTCCCTTTCTCAGCATCTGTATAATTACTGTTAAGCCAAACCGAAAAGCCTCAGGCTTAGAGATCACCAGAGTAAAGTTACATTTCGCAAGACAAAAACTGAACTCAGTAGTTTAAAAAAAATTGGTGACCGATTCTGTGTCATAAATTGTAAAAGCAGGCACAATATTTTGCTAAGGAAAAGCAGAGGCATTCAGGTTTGTTCCCATATAGAATATAAAATTAGCTTTATTTACATTTATTTCTTTCCTCCTGCTTTGCGGAGAGCAAACTTAGCTATTAAAACTCTTGATATGTTTCCCCCCCCCGGCCACGTCCCCAACGTCCCCTCTCCTCCTCCCCCCCGGCAGCAGACCTCGGCCTCGCAGCAGATGCTGAACTTCCCTGACAAGAGCAAGGAGAAACCGGCCGACATGCAGAACTTCGGCCTCCGCACCGACATGTACACCAAGAAGAACGTCCCCTCCAAGGTGGGTGCCCCCCAAAATCCACCCCCCCGTCCCCGTCCCCCTGCCCGCCACTGCCGCTCACCCCTCTTTCACACCG